TAAATCTATCTTTTCACAACAACCTTCCAGAGCGATTAATGTAGGAGCCTAAAATACATCATTTGCCCCGGCTAGTTGTCGCAAGCTGACGGCCGTCACAAGGTCTGTAGCCTAGAACAATATGCAGTAGCATGTGATTTCTTAGCTCTTCACAGTAGTGAATATATATGACGATGTCTGGTGACGTGGTCAGTATCAAGTGTAGAATATAATCTGCACGGGTTGGTTGATCAACTAACTTTGGAAGTTTAAAGCGATATAAGTTTCCAGAAATTGTTTAGATGCTACTCTACCACCAGAAAATATACTTGACCAGTCAATCCAAGGAAAATTAAAACCGCCGAAAAACAGCCCGCCGTCTTTAGTAAAACGACCTTTATTATCAGCGAGAACAGAGCCCAAACTGGTATGGAAGGATAAAGCACAGTAGGGCGGCTTATAACACACTCCTATAATAATATTACTCAAGAGAGTCAATACACATATGCAAGCATATTCCAAGTTGTGGTTCAATACACAGAAGTCGAAAGAATGTATGTGTCTTTTTATCGCAATGAGAACACTACCATTCCTCTGTCCAACGCCGGTCATAGCAAAAAACTGTATAGCTAGGTTACAGGAAACATTTTATTTATCTTCAATATCGTGATTAAACCAAGGTTTTGTGAAAATGACCATGTCTGATGCGCTTTCCTCCGGTACGCCATCGAGTTCGTCTGGATTTGGCATGACGCCGCGAATGTTTGTGAAGAGGAGAGAAACATTTTGGTATTTATCGCGTGTTGCAGCTTCATGTGGTGACGGATACTTTTTAATTTTATTCCGCCGAACTAGTTATGAGAGTTCCATGACATATTGATGCTTAGGGTTAAACACTAATCGTTCTTCGTTAATATGCAACTTATATAAACGCACTTTAAACTGTACGTTCAAGTCTTTTCCGTCTTGAAAATGTTTCTTACGAGCAAGTCGCGCAGACTCGAAAAAAATCGTCACACACAGCGTAAGGGCTATCTTTTAGCTGAAACCAGAGGAGAAAATGTTTACCTAAAATTGGGCAAACTTGACAATGATTGGTCTAGTTCTCTCGGAATCGAATTTTCCCAGCCGGTGGGAACTTTCAAGATTTGAGGGGTCGAGTGCAATGCCCAAGTTCTGCGTGCAAATCTGGATCTTTTTCTTTCTTTCGATTGCCCCGCGTTTTGGTTTGGTAACAAGGGCAACCAAAAACAAAATATTTGATATTCTAAGGCAATTTTCATTGTCTTCACACTGCTTCTGTGTATTCGCCAGCTCGACAAATATGCCTTGGTACGGCTCAAGCGGAGTTTCAGATGCAGTGTCGGTCACAGCCAACTTAGCTTCCACAGGACTTCTTCTAAAAAGCAGTTGTTGAACTGATACATCGGTAGCTTTTTGACCTTTCTCTAGAGACACAACCTTCGCCAACATATCTGTCGCTGCAGCCTCGATCCTCTTGATAGCTAATAGAATACTCGCTCTATGGCCGCTGTCGGTATTGAGTCCTGGGTTATTGACGTAGGCAATGGTGGTTTCAGGACCCGGATTTATTTCAACATCTCCCGACAGTGATATAAGGGGCTGAGCAACCGTAAAAAACGTACGAGTACTGGCAACAGTAATAACAAATCACTTCCCGCCAAGAGCACACACCGTCGTGGGGGCACGACACTAAAACAAACAAAGGTTCTTGCTGCGATCGCAGTTGACGTGTTTGAGGTAACCAACCTGAATAAACAAGTGGATTTGCGTCATGGCTGGTTCATATGCATGCCACTCAAGGAATCGCCTTAACTTAATTGCTGACTTTTAGCTATTTTATAAGTATGCCGTGTCGAAATATTTTTTTTAATAAACACGGAGATCTATCAAGATAATACCTTTGTTGGAGCAGTAAAAGTCGACAAAAAATTGCAGACGTTTACACTTTTATCTAATAAGAAATTAGAGCGCAACGTTTGAGTTATCCAAGTTACAGTGAGACGTAGGAATAGTAATAGTTTTTTTGTTGCTCTCTCCGTTTTTAATAATTAGTAATCCTACGTCTCAAGGTTACCATGAATGCCCTTCACCAGCTCGCCTGCGGTTTTTGCTCCTTTTTTTTATTACACTGCTCTACGCTCACCAGGATAATGATTAGACCTACCGGAAATTATATGGTCCTGGTCGTTTTCGCCAACGTACGTAGGGTATCTGTGTTTTCAATTTCTGCTTCTAGTGTAAAAAGAGATTAGCGAACACTGTACCACCGAACGTAGCGCAATGCTCAGGTAAACTAACATCATACTTTAGAAATCAAGACTGGAGCAATGCTTGCTGTCTGTCGGTAGCCAAACTTATCTGCATGCAAATTGGTTTTGTAAGAAGCTGCACCGTGCTGCCATCTTGTCCGACGCTTTTTATTGATTGTTATAGAACTTTTAGAACTCCCATTTCCGTTAGCGTCTGGTTTTATTGCCCTGGAGCGCAAGATGACGCTGCTCACTTTATTACAAACGTTTCTCCGCTATATTAGCTCAAATCGTGGGACGGCTCTTTTCTATGCGGTCGTGCCGCGTCCCCATGCAGCACACTGCAGACTAAGAAGTGAGAAGAAAATCAGAAGGTTGCTCACAGAATGCATTGCTAATGTCTAGTATTCGGTTCATGTGTTTCAGCAGCTGGTGACCTAAAGCTATTTGAAACGTATATCCTTAAAAACTCTGTTTTCGTTTCAGGCCAATCAACTTATGGGTGTCCTAGAAGACCTGAAGAGTGTAACCGTTATTGCACAAGTAAAGGATATGAATACGGTGACTGCAAGAGTTCACGGCCGGAATACTGTACTTGCTATGGAAAGCCCTTATAATTCAGAGGAATTCCACTTTGCAGAATGTCACACATTCGCCAGAAATTTTACTTTGAAGAAATGCTGAAGCATGTTTGCAAAATTAAAAAAAAGGAACACTCGCCGGACTATAGTTGGGTGAGATTCTGTCTTTGTTCAAAATAAAATGTTTACAGGAATTTTCCCTGGATACCGACAAGGTGAAAATAACCTTATCAATGACTGAAACTTTCTCAAAGTTATATTAGTAAAAGAAGACAATATATTTACGCATAATGGTTGAAAGCAGAAACTCATAACCTAAAAACACAATGTAGTCCGTAAATTCAGTGCTGTGCGAAATCTACATAAAACGTTATTCTATATGATCTTGATACAAGCGGGACATTACGAGGTCTCGCATAAAAACCAGAAATTACGAGATCCAGGCAAACCAGAAAATCTCAGGCCTCGTAAAGTAACAACATATAAAAATATCGTTCACTATAATAACGATGTGGCGCTTGAAGACACGTATGTGGAATAAGATGATTAATAGAACTCTACTCTATAACCTTTTATAATACATTAAAATATATTGCTACGCTGCAAGTGCGGTAAATCAAGCATACGAACGTCGATTTATCTAAGGCGGTTCGTAGAGTGGCATGTGCATGCCACTCAACGAATTGCCTTAGATCCTTTGCTGATTCATAGTTATGTTATGTGCATGTTGTGGCGCAATCAATTGTCTAATAAGCATTGAGAGCCCTCAGGATAATAAATTTACTAGAACAGCAAAAGTCGAAAACAAACTAAAGACGTTTACGCTTCTCTAATGAGAAATTAGAGCGCACCTCTCGAGGTATCTATAGTAAACCTGAGACGTAGGAATAATACAAATGGAGAGAACAACGAAATATCTTGTTGTTCTCTCCGTTTTTCCTAAATTATTTTTACGTCTCAGGGTCACTATGGATATCATTCACCAGCTCGCCTGCTTTTTTACCTTTCCTGAGGTATGATGATTTTCTGATATACCTTGGCAGAAAATTTGAGAATTTTTTTTTTTTCTGAGGGCAGGCCAGGGAGTAGGAGGAGGATATGATGCGAGTCCAGTAACGCAACGCGCGCGATGTTTGTTTCAACGTGAAATGTGTTTGGCTAGTTGCGACGCATTTCTCGTAGCCGCACCTCCTGAAGCGGTAGCCTGCGACCTCACATGTCGTCACAGTTTCCCTGCTAACTTTAGTTGGAAAGTTGACGCCACGTGATATCAACACAAATTCAGATTCCCTGTTAAATTTAGCGGGGGAAATGGCGTCAGATAACTTTCTATCACATATCCTCTGAAGAAATTCTGTGTCCCCCTAGATATAGCGAAAAAGTGACGTCCCCTTATATCACCATCAATTTAATTTCCCCTGTAGGGATAGCGTAGAATCTGGTTGGTGTTCTGGATATGTGACGTCCGTTTTTAGGCTACATTTAACGGGGAAACTGATTGCGCATTGTTGCATTATGGGACATGACAGGCCTACACACCAATTCAGTTTCATCGCTAAATTTAGCGGGGCATTGACTTGGTGTACAGGTCTGTGACGTCGCAAAATGCAACGCGCGCGGTTGCGCCGACGGCCAAGGCAAAGCTGACACCGCTCTACGCGGAAACGGGCGCCTATGAGCTGCGCTCTAAAGGAAGTTACGCTATCAGGATATATAGATTCGGAAAAATCGTTTATATGATCTAAGCGTTCCCTTTCCCCAGCACATTTAGCTTCTGTTTTTTCTGCACTGCTGGGTTATGGGGTGCTGAATTGTCCGCAGCTGAATTGCCGGCTGCGGGGTCACGGGCCTCTGAGTTACTGGCTGCTGAATTGCTGGCTGCTGAGTTGTCTGCCTGTTTACGGGCTTCTAAGATGCTGGCTCCTTACCTGCTAGTAAACTAAGTTGCCGGCTGCTGATGGTCCAGCTACTGAATCGATAACTGTTGAGTTACCGGCTGCTGAGCTGCCTGTTGTTGAGTAGCAGCTGTTCCGTAACAGCCTTCGTAGTAGCCGCTGCCTGAGGTGCCGGCAACCGGCAAGTGATTTGCCGGCTGCTGTCTGCTGGGTTGCCGTGTGTTGCGTTGCCGGTTTCTGCCTTGCCGGCTGCTGAGTTCCTGGCTACTGGGTTATGGGCTGCTGCTAGCCGGCTGCTGCGTTGCTGACTGCTGGGTAAGGGGCTTCTGTGTTGCCGGCTGTTGCGTTCGGGGCTGCTGCGTTGCTGGCAGATGGGTTAGGGGTTGTTGAGTTGCCGGCTGCTGGGTGCGAGGCTGCTCCGTTGCCGGCTGCTGGGTGAGGGGCTGCTGAGTTGCCGGTTGCTGGGTGAGGGGCTGTTGCATTACCGGCTGCTGGAGGAGGGGCTGCTGTGCTTCCGGCAGCTGTGTTAGGGGCTGCTGCGTAGCCGGCTGTTGGGTAAAGGGCTGCTGAGTTGCCGGCTTTTAGGTTTGGGGCTGCTGAGTTCTCGGGTGCTGGGATAAAGCTGCTGAGTTGCCAGCTTTTCGGTGAGCGGCTGGTGCGTTGCCAGGTTCTTGGTGTAGGGCCGCTGCGTTGCCAGCTTCTGTATGAAGGGCTGGTGCATTGCCGAATGCTGGGTGAGCGGCTGCTGCGATGCCTTACACTGGGTTAGGGGCTGCTTCCTTGCCGTCTGCTTGGTTAGGGGCTGTTGAATTGCTGGCTGCCGACTTAGGGGCTGCTGCGTTGCCGGCTGCTTCTTGAATGACTGCTGCATTGCCGGCTGTGACTGCTGGGATGCCCCGTTGCCGGCTGCTCGGTTAGGCAGTGCTTCATTTCGGCCTGCTGCGTTGGGGGCATCTGAGTTACCGGCTCCTGGGTAAGGGGCTACTGAGTTTCCGGCAGCTGGGTAAGGAGCTGCTGCGAGGTAGGCTGCAGGGTTAGGGGCTGCTTCATTGCTAGCTAATGGGTGAGGGGCTGCTGAGTTGCCAGCTGCTGGTTGAGGGGCTGCTGCGTTTCGGGCTGCTGGATTAGGGGCTGCCGCATTGCCGACTGCTGGGCGAGGGGCTGTTCCGTTGCCGGCTGGTGGGTGAGGGGCTGCTTTCTTCCCACCTGTGTGGGGAGGGGCTGCTGCATTGACGGCTGCTGGGTTAGGGGCTGCTAAATAGCCAGCAGCTGAGTTAAAAGCAGCAGCGTTGCCAGCTGCGGGGTGAGGGGCTGCTGCGCTGCTCGCTTCTGGGTTAGCAGCTGCTGAGTTAACGGCTGCTGGGTGAGGGCCCGCTGCATTTCCGGGTGCTAGGTGAAGGGCTCCTGCGGTGCCGGCTGCTGGATGAGGGGCTGCTGCGTTGCCGACTGCTAGATAATAGACTGCTGCATTGTTTGTTGCTGTTTTAGGGACTGTGACTTACCGGGTGCTGGGTTAGGGTCTACCGCGTTATATCTGCGAAGTTAGAGGCTGTTGCAATGACGGAAACTGGGTTAGATATTGCTGCATTGCTGGTTGCTACGTGAAGAGCTGCTGTGTTTACGGCTGTTGGGCTTGGCTACTGGAGACATAAGCAAGGTCGGCAAGAGTCCGGCCACAAACTAGCTTTTTTTCAGGTTGGCCACTGGAGACATTAAACACTTCCGGCAAGTGCCTGGCCATCAGGGATGATTTTCAGCTTAACGGACGTAATCATACACGCAGTCGGCGAGTGTTTGGCCAACAGTGCGAATTTTCCGCCTGGCCGCCGGGGACATAAACACTGCCGACAAATGTCTGCCCAGAAGTTCTGATTTGCACTTTGGCCGCAGGCCAAAGTGATAATCTCATAATCCCCCATAATCTAAACTTTTATCACGTTTACGAAACTTTGGCATGACGACGGGCAGCAAGAAAAGCAATATGAGCGAGTGGTTGGCAGTGCTACAGTACGTGCATCACGTGTGCACTTTTAGCGGAAGCAAGCAATCAACGTTTTATTCTTTTTTTCTTTTATATTTGAAATCCTATAGTCTTAATTTCCACTGTGGAGCCATATGTTCATTTGGAACCAGAAGTGAGCAAAAATTGTGCGCGTCGTTATTCTTTGAAAATGAAATAGGAAAACGACGCCGATGTCATTTTCGCGCTAACAATATCGCTCAGTCACTGCGCGATACACTTAGTGGGAATACGACATCAGCGATTTTCGTCGGGTTAGTGTAAGTTCACGTTGATGTTTTAATGCGCTGTGTACAGTTACCAATCGGGGAAAAAGAACGTTATAAAAAGTGTTTCGATACATGAGGTGGCGGCCTCAAGGAGAGGTCAATGCAGACAGTGTTTCGGCTAGAAAAAACTTAAAGTTCCAGATACATATATATTTTCGAGAAGCTCTGACTGTTATTATTTACGACAGCTTCAATTAAGGGTTTTGCATTTTGCACTATTTTGTAAATCCCTTCTGGGAATTACCTTTCAGTGTATATTGGTAGACACCGATTACCAAAAACCATTACAAACACGATTTTTCTTCGTATTAGCTATGTAGGTTCGCAATATTCTCGCCTAAAATGTGCCTATACAAACACGCGTGAAGCTGCCTGCTTCACTGGTGGAAATATATCTTGAGAAACCGTTCACATTTGTGGACATCGCCACATACTTCTTTGAAGCTGGGTTATCCATCCCCGCGAACAAACAAAAGACAGTTGACTCATAGAGTGGCATAATACCATGCCACTATATCGATTAAATGAGTGGGACTAGTGTTGGAGCGCTTTCACACAATCCGTAGAGATGCTATTATGTAGCGGTGGCGGATGTGGTTCGCGAACAACGTTTTTCAGACCCACACCGAGACAGGGTTGGCGATTTTTGGCGATCACTCCTGATTTGTCGAGACTTGTGTTTTGCAACCAGACTTTACAATCCAAAATGCAGTTCAGTCTATAGTACTAAACCACAAAATTAGCGATTTTCGAACAGATGGTTTTGCTTCGTGCAGTTCGCACGTATCCCGAGCTCAGAGAGGAAAGAAAGAGACATGGGAGTCAAAAAATTAATCTGTTTTTTTCACCCGACCGTTCCTAGAAGCAAAGAGCGGCTATTCCGCTGCGCTAAGTAAACACGAATGCCACCTAAATTTGAATAAAGTTTGTTATTGAAGTTCGGTAATGTTTTTTGCTTTAGTAAGAGGGTACGTTATCCCTTTCGTCCTTCGCTTTTTTGTCTTTTTTTCATTTTTGCTTTGGTGGTGCGGGTGTTCTGTTTGTGGCGAGCAGGTTGTGGTTTGGCAGACGAAGAACTCGCCTTTCGTAAGACGTTGATTTCGTCTGCCGTTTCTGGGTCATTAGGTTCAAACCAATCCGGTACGAAGTACCTGTGCATCATGACGTACGAACACAATATTTCTTGAGTGGGTGCCCTTTATTCCTATTGGTACTAGAAATGTCACAGTTCGAGCTAGCGCAGTTCTCTTGGGTGGCCCACTAACCCCGTGGTAGTGCACTCTGAAATTATATTTTTCGAGACGCTTTTTGTCGTTTCTAGAACTCTTTCTGCTGAGGAAGGGCGGTTTCGCGACAAGCACTTTCGCCCCTTCTCACAATTGAAAGGCTGATAAATACCTCTTTTGCATAAAAATGAGCTTGATGGACTTCTTATACGCTTTTCATGACGAGCCTTGTGATGGGGTGCTTAAAATAGTTTAAAGTTGCAAAATATAGGCAGGCCGATGAACACCTAGAAGTTCTTTTATGACCAGATTTTTTAAGTGTTTGTTCACAACGCATTTACGCTCCCAAGGAACACATTAGGTTCATGTGGAATATTCATCCTCCACTCGGTGCTTATTAGATTCGTCTAGAACGATTATGGGGTGAAGGTACTGTTTCTTGTGAACTGATTTTATACAATACACTTTAGATACAAGACTTCTAGATATTTTTTTATATTGAGTGAAAAAACGTCGATTTAGTAAGTCGTAACCATATTAAAAAAATAAGCTGAAGAAACAAACAGAACCAGAATGTCTTTATAATTTGTTACTGTTTCATCACAAGCTGAGGTATATGCAAGTATAGAATTTCAGCAAATCATATTTTTCCGAAGAAGTAAGAAAATGAAATCTTGAATACGTGAACACACAAAAAATGGGAAAAAAAATGCTTTTCCGGCTACGTTACAAATGAAAGTCGCCAGTCAGGGGAAATTTGAGGATATAAAATCGAAACAAAGACTGAAGTTGAGCGCCCTCCTTTGAATTAATTACGGCCTGCCTGTGAGGCACACAAATGTTCACGAGCGCTCTTCAATCGGCAACTCATTGGATGTGTTTTGCTAAGTTGAATTTTTATTTCCGTATTCACTTGACAACAGGGGTTGCTAAATATATAGCTTTTAAAAATGCTTGCGTAGTGGAGCTCGTCAGTGATTCAATGTGTACGGTTGACAAAATAAAATGTATCTCAAAACAGAAAAAAATGCGACTACATTTGAAACCAACCTTAGTTAATGATGTTTTAACGCATACGGAACATTTCATTTCTTTTGTTCCAGCAGCCCTTGAAAACGACCGTAAAACTTGTTGTGACTTGTGATAGGTATGCCTCTCATTTTACGGTTCACGAACTCCGTCTCTCGGCAAATGTTAAGAAAAAAAACTTGTAAAACTTGGTTTATTTACAAGTTTAGAGTTTAGAAATGAGAGCGACTTAAACCCACTAAAAAAGCGGAGTTTCGTTGTCTTTCCTTTTACAAAAGCTGCGTGTCATGCCAAAACTTCGCAAATAGCATTTTTTTTCTGTGTGTGTGTGGAAGATGTAAATGCTCTGTGTGTTTACGGCTTCCAAGCAGACGGCGTAGCAGCAGTTGGGAACTCCCACCTGGTTCTACTAAAATCTCTATTTTTTGGTTAGCTGATATTTAGTCAAGGCTTTGTCTGCTCACTAAACCAACGTGGAGACGAAGTGAAGTCACGATTTTTTTTTAATTTACGGAACACAAAACCTACGATCATGTCTGCGAACTTCGTAAAATGAACAACTCCAGAATAATTAACGCCTATCGCGTGATTCCTAGAATAAAAATTCTTTGAATGTTTCATGAACACGACAGTTACAAAAAGGCTTCCAAACTATGCTCACCAGAATACTGGCTCGAACATTACTCGTGAAGATTGTAGGTTGACTCCACTTTGGTAAGACATTAATGATGTTCTGGTTTTACTTGACCGTTTTTTTCTAAATGAAACATTTCTAGCCAAATCAATATTTGTATCGCACAATAACGTTTGTCGATGCCAGATTGACCCGTTCTGTTCCCAGCACCATTTGTGCTCTGTTTGCCTAGTTTCAGTGGATTTTTTACACTTCATAACGGGGACGTAAATCTTAAGATTCGGGAAATTATTCTTCGGTTCCGTGTTTGTGGTGGGTTGTGTTAGATTCCCCACTCTAAAGCGCTCGAGCCTCCAGTTGCGCCGGGGCATGTCTTCTGACTTAGAGAAGTCTAACAATTCTGACGAACAGCATGCTATGAGTGGATCCGTTCTGGCCATCCCAGCGTGAGGATCTTGAGTTCTGGATTCTTCTGCTGCCACCTGTCCGTAGTCGTCGTCCTACTTTAAATCGGTCTGGAGTATATTCAAGATGACGGCAGTAACTAGGCGCTGTCCGCAAGCAGTATTTGGATATGGACAAAAACGGGACCTTTCTCTCTCGAGCCTCGACAAAGAGCTTTTTTTTTCGTCGTGTCCTTCGAACCCCCATTCAGTACGCGCGATAAAACTCGCGCATTGCATCACATACTTCATTGAGCATCATTCTTCTTTTTATTTTTCAAATATGATTGGAGGCGCTTTTTTGTGCTTGTTTATTTACCGGACGTGCGGGGCACTTTGCTGCCAAATTTGCTTGTGAAAGAAAAAAAAAGCGGTATTTGTCGGTGTTTATGTGCTAGAAAACAGGGCGCCGGCATGGGGATTCCCCAACTTCCCAGGAACGTGGGCGTTACTTGAATAATAAGAAAACGTTTTGGGTACTGATCAGATCTTGAAGAAAAAAAGCAATGTTTGTTCCCTATGAATGCAGCAGCCTCGCGGAAATTACCTGAAGTGTCCCCGTTTAAAACGAAATAAAGCTGCAGATCGCCGTTTCTTCCCGTGATGCTC